ATTACATTCTTCGGCAACGGCTGTTTCATCATCAAAATTCGGGTATTGACCAATATCAATATCATTACACGCATGGTCTGTTTCTTCTTCTGAAACATCATCAAAATCCGTGTATTGACCAATATCAAAGTCCGGATATTGACCAAGACCAAATTTCGAATACTGACTAGTACTCACAATTTTTTCTGTTGGCTCATCATCGTCTAACTGGTCAATACGAAAACCGGAATTTGGTGCTGAAAGTTGATTGGGATTTGGATTAGAGAAAGGTTGTGGGTTTTGAGAAAAACTTAGTTGATTACTACCCGCTACTGACCCAACAATACTACTTCTAGGTTCAACAACATACAATGTAACATCATCTTGTGAAACACTAATGTAAGCAATGAATCGTTCAACATCTTCATTGTCGGTTAACAAATAAACTTTACCATTTCTCTGATAAGATAGCCTAAATCCACTTAGGGGCTCTAAATTCAATTTATTTGAAACACGTAGCATTAGAGTTTCATAAGTTAACTTTTGTAAAGACAATTTTAGTTGAAGATTCATGGGTAAAGGCATATATTGTAAAACACCATGAACATTATCCCATGACCCTCCAAAACACAAATCTATCCAAACATGATCAACATTAGATGATTTCATGGTTGTAAATTAATTTACTAAACAGACGAGCTGCGAAACTAAAACCTGTTGCCGGATTGGGAAGGATGTCGTTGGATATAGGAACGGATGTCGCCGGAGAGAGTGATAGATGGAGATGGAATGAGTTGCGATTTAGGGATTTAGTTTATGATTTCAGTGTTATATACCCAAAATTTCAGTGTTGTGATTTACAGATTCTCGTTGCGATTTACGGATTATCGTTGCGATTTACAGATTCTCGTTGCGATTTACGGATTATCGTTGCGATTTACGGATACGCGTTGCGATTTACGGATTATCGTTGCGATTTACGGATACGCGTTGCGATTTACGGATACGCATTGCGATTTACGGATACGCGTTGCGATTTACGGATACACGTTGCGGTTTACGGATACGCGTTGCGATTTACGGATACGCGTTGCGATATACGGATACGCATTGCGATTTACCCATACGCGTTGCGATTTACGGATACACGTTGCGATTTACGGATACGCGTTGCGATTTACGTGTTCGCGTTGCGATTTTCATATTCGCGTTGCGATTATGGAAAATCGCAATGCGAATTTGTACTATCGCATCGCGATTTTCAAGAATCGCGTTGCGATTTTGGAAACTGATTTGCGATTCTGGGGATCGCGTTGCGATTTTTATTTCGCGTTGCGAATTTGTTGGTCATTTTGGCAAATCCAAAAAAAGTTGGTTAAAATCGTATATTATAACTTTTTTTTGGTCACTGAGGCGATTTTCTCTAAATTTTAATATTAATAAATTGAACAAACGAAATTAAGAGAATCACTTTATAATATTTAATTTAAATTAATAAATTAAATATGGATAGTTGAAAAAAATTATACATCATAACACGGGGCACTCACCTCATACCTCTCCATTTACATATATTATATTTGGAAGATCACTTTTGGATTCAAAGACTTGCATAAGCAATTAGAATCTTTAATAAGAAAGAAGACAACATCAAGGATAATATACATAATTAGAACTTGATGGTCGTTTTTTAATTGAAAAAAGAATGATGATTCGAGACCAAAATTGATTCTTCTTCAAACCTACAGAAGCTTCGAGTAGAAAGAGAATGATTTTTTGAATAATTTAGATTTAGGGTTTAGTGTTGCTCGATGGTTATATTAAATAGTAAAATTGATCAAACATGTTCGACTCTATCATTATTAATTTAAATCTCTAACTATATAAATCTTTAAAAAATTAAATTTAGAAAAGTTTGAATTTGAAAAATAAAATTGATTTTGAAAAAAAATTCAGCCTAACAGAATTTGAATATAAAAAAAATTCAAACTCGATAAAATCTAAAATCGAATTTATCTGATTTGAATAATAAATTTAATCTTTAATATTTGTATACTATATGATTTTTTTATGTTCTACACATGTTCATGGTTAAATTTATCTGATTTTTTAAAAATCAAATTAATGTAATATATAATTATTAAAGATTAAATTTGTTATTACAATAATCAAAATCATATAAAATATACATTAGTTGACCCTATTCCCATATATAATGAGATGAGGAGAGGTAAGGTAGTAGGTTGCCCCCAACGCCAGGTTGAGAGCAATTTCCATGGAAGACCTCCGGCAGTCTATTATTTTCTCGTATTTAATTTTAGTGAGTGAATTTTTCAACGAAAATTTTATACATGCACATTTTTAAACAATATCAAGTTGATTATTAATTGAATAAATCTTGTTAGTTGAGTTATAATTAATTATCTTTAATCTTTCACTTTGGAGCTGAATTAATCCGAATATACACGTGGATATAAAATAGCAGAAAACTTGAAGGGCAAAATAGTCAAAGGCCATATGCTTCCTCTATATAGTAGCTAAACCCCCATCGCGGCTAGGGTTTAAGCTTCTGCCTCCATCGACCCAGACTCTAATAAAAAAGCACAGCACAACTCAAACAGAAGCAGCGATGTTCCCAGGAATGTTTATGCGCAAACCCGACAAGGCGGCGGCCTTGAAGCAGCTGAAGGCACACGTGGCTATGTTTGGGGTCTGGGTAGCCGTGGTTCGTGTCACCCCTTACATTCTTCATTACCTCTCTGATGAAAAAGATGAGCTAAAGCTCGAGTTCTAGAGTCAGGTAATTTAAAGACTTCGACTCAGCCCAATTTTGGGGACTGAGTATTGTTTTCTATCTGGGTTTTTACTGCTACGAATTGTTACTATCTGGGTTAAATATCAATTCTTGCGTTTGCCCAAGATAGGGTTTGTATGCTTAAGACACGTTTAGGAGATAATCTGGGTGATGGAAAGTGGAAGGAGACGTTTTGGATATGGCTATTTTTATGACATTTTATTTGTCCATTGGAAGAACATTGGGAGGGGCCAAATTGCTTCACTTCAATAGATCAAGGACCTATTAAGTATTTGAACCTAAACAGGGGTCAGGACCTAATTTGACTAACATTTAAACTAAGAGGGACCTAAATTGCTATTCCCAACCTGTATGTGGGTTGGTCACTGCATAGTAAGCTCGACCAGGATGCCTTGTCCTATAGGTGGAGTATGATTGCCTTCAAAAGACACTTTCAATTCCCTGATTGTCATTTTTGTTTAATATTTTGGAGTATATTCATTGGCTTGGAATGATTTAATTTTATCACGATCGTCGTCGGGGTACACCAATCTGTTTGATTTCCTTAAAAGTTGCTATTACAGTCTCGTTACAAGTCGAGTGTGTTATAATAGCGAAAGCCGTTCTTTGTATCACTATCCATTTACATGCGTGTGCCTTAGTGCCTTTCCCTTGCCAAATAGCATGACAACTGGTTATTTGGTAAACCTGCATAGCTGTAAACAAATCCCCATTTTCATTTCTTTTGTCCCTAATGATATCGTTATTGAAATTAGTTTCTTTGTGTTGGTTGCTAATGATTACAAGCCTGCATTGATGACAACTTCTATGGTGCCATTCAATAGAGTCCTGTTATTTCACCTCTACTCTGATTGTTGCATAATATTATCAGTTGAGTGCACCAAAAATCAATGCCTTCGATTTGAATTTAGTGGTTGGCAAAACAGATTTTGCTTCATATGGTAATTATGTGAATGATATAGTAGCCACACTTGACTTATCTTTTAGACGATGAATTATTGTTAAAGCCCTTAGCTTGTGTCCCTCATCTACTGCATTCGAGAGGTTGTTTTGTATAGTTTGTTGCTGATTTTTCCTCCTTATATGGTGCAGTGGGTTTACAAGGAGAGAATTTGATTAGAACATAAAGGAGTATGCAAGTTCCGTGTTCATTCTTGCTTTAGTACGAGGCCGAAGTGCAATCACAATAGGTTTTTTGTGTTCTTGCCTGTTAGTCTTGTATTTAAGAAATGAAACTTGTCATATCTACTTGAATATACATTTATCTGGTTATCTTGTTAGTATTTAGATTTTGATAATTGGTTATTCTAAGTTTCTTTAGATCCGTTTATATAATGATCGAAGTTTTGTTTAAGTTCTCTCGGAAAATCCGACCCTTGAGCATGTCTACTATCTTTTTAACTCATCTTGTGATCATTTTCCTTCCATCATGTTGACTCAAAATCTAGTGGGTCATTTCTCATTTGAATTGTGTACATAAATCTTCTCCAATCATCTATGAATTGTTAACTCGAAACTTAATCGAACCTAAACTAAGAACCACTTTAAGCTTGAGAGCAGGCCACGATCTCAGTTTTGATGGCCGCTACCAAACAATCATAAGCGTACCCCATGCATTCTTCATCTCCGCCGACAACATTTCCGGAACTGCTTCCTTTATGCTCTCCAACAGAGCGAATTTCGTCACCTCGAAATGTTCATCGGCTACACCGTATTTGAAGTGGGTGCCCCCTAGTTTCTTCGAAGTCGTCTCTCTCACCGTTACTCTGCCGGCTTTACGGAGTTGAACAGCGGACTCACATATCTTCAAAGTTGTCAACAAGTGCCACTTACTCTCAATATCATTGGTAGTTATCGTCGACTTTAGTTCTTTTATAATGGAGCAAATAAATTTGAAAGCTACCATAATTCACCCCAAATCCCTAAATAATTTTCTTAGATCCAAAATTTCCTTTTTTTTAATCATTTCCCCTAAATTTGTCATAAAAAAACTCATTTTCAGCACTAATTAATTTATGTCAACATGATGAGTTGGAACAATTTTTTAATAAAAAATTCATGTCAATATTTTAATCATGATAATTAACGGTTTTGAGATCAAATTATGTCAAATTAAAGTATAAGAACTAAATTCCGAGTTTGATAACGACTCAAAATCAACCTCATTTTAGCGCCATCATTCATAGACTATAACAATGTAGGATGTAATGAATTTCACAGGGCTAGATATACCCTATATCACTAAGCTAGTTCTTTTGGAAATAGATATTGGAATGCAAAATTGTGAGGGACCCATTCGATAATTTTCCCATTTTTCCTATTGCATGATTGCTGAATGTTCTTCAGTGCACCAGGCATACATTGCTCGACCATTTGCAGTAAACCAGCTGAACAAACATCTGAATCTTTTGCAAAATACTCCATAATCTTTGGTAACATTATGTTTTGCTCCTTGTTGACACTATAATTTGCTTGGATGTACTCTTGTTTTGCTACTTCAAGTTCATGGAACACTTCTTTCGGTGTGTATATTCGGACCTAGATCAAAATAAATCAATAAGTCTTGACAAAAGAATATCGAGAATTTATTTAGTCCCCAATAAGTTATTCCAAAAAGTGTACCACGGGGTCCGAATGGCTTCCCGAACTAAGTGCAAAATGCAGGAGAGGTTCTCGGGACTCGATTGCATGGTCTCTTCGACGATCACCGACCCTAAATTTCGTCTTCGAAGGAAAAAGAAACCGTAGCCACTGCAAGCAGATGAAAGTTTTATGTTGATCTCGTGTTGATTATTATACTTCTGCTCGAAAATTTGCCAACAACTGGATTTTACCTGTCCAGGACGAGGTGACCGGCACCCAAGTATTGAACACTGTAAGGTGTCTATGCTTATGGTATGGCCACCAACATTATATGCAGCCTGCTTTATCATTATCATCATCATCATCCATAGGATTGTCAAATGCAAGCATGTATTGCATAATCCTTTGTTGAAGTAATCAGAAAAGCTCACCTTGAGTAACAAAGACAATCTCTTCAGATTGTTTTTCGGAATACCATAGACCAAATATGCCTGTATGAACAAAGTAAAGTCGGTATTTTTTTAGGGTCTTACTCGGAAATTAAATAAAATGAAGATTGATATGTGGAACATTACATGCATCACCAGAGAATTGTGTACATTGATCCAGAAAGCTAGCTTTTCCTCATGTTCCATCCTTCTAACATCAACTTCTTCCAGCTGATAAACAAGTGACCTGTAATATTGCAGCTTATGTTCAATATCTTGTAACCTTTTGCTGTCCCTGCAAATCCCTTGAACCTTAACCATTTCGAAGGTCGGTCCGCTGGATTCCTTCGACTTCGCAATGTTAAAAGGGCTATCGATGTGGAAGTTCAAGGATGAAAATTTCCCACACCGTGGGGTGCTCCACATATCATCAACTGATGATAAATAAGACATAGGAGAAGAAAAGTTATGGTTATTCAAAGGTGGGTCTGCAAGTTCACAATATATGGTTGAAATGGCCTTGATCATCTCCTCGGAAAGCTGGTTCGGAGTTTTGGGAATACGATCGGAAACGAAATGGTCTGCCAAGGTTAGTCCATTCGAGGTATTCATCTGAGCCTTCTGGAAAATCGAATGAAAGCAAGGAAAATCAGAAACCAGAAGGAATATACAACTGAATTGACATGGACACGGATTACCTCCAACATGGACAAAGGAAGAGAATGGTATAAATCTACAGAGTTATCAGCATTCTTTTTTGGAGAAGTAACCGAATATGCCGATCCCCGAGAGAGCGTAGAATGGCTCCGAAAAATGCTAGAATCTAACACTCTCTTAGTTCCCCAAACATCAATGAATTTCTTTGGTGGATTTTCTTTCTCTGACATAATATCACCTTCCAGAACCTCAGGAAACGTTTCTTTTTGCGCCACTGAATTTGGTTTCGGATTCTCCTCTATGGTATTCAAACACAAGAATCGTCGATTGAAAGTTTTACGGTACAACGAGAGCAGATACTTCTCCAAGTAGGCAATTTCCAATTCTAAAACTGCAATGTCCTTTAAAATATCCTTAGCACCCTGGAATTTACATGAATGAACTCATTAACTGATGCAACAAGTTATTTATAATGTAATTATTCTGCAAAAACATGGAACATAAAAGTCGGTAAAAGGTCTATGACTTAATGCCTTGTCTAATGCATGCCGAGCCGCAAATTGGTCCTGCAATCGATCCCGAAGGCGTAGATGCTGCTCGAAAAGATGTTACTATTGTAGCTTAGCTTTGTATATATATCCCAAACCTGTATAAGCTTTGCAGATATGGCAAAATTTACCTCTTGCTTTAAAGAGTTCCGAACTTCGAGATTGGTATTCTCCTTTGCTTCAACATGGCTCTTTATTGTGTTATGAGATGGATAACTATCAAAACAAAAATAATATACCAACCATTACCAGCTGATAATAGAGTCAACTAGCTCAATCACATAACTTCTAAGAAACCAGAGAGCTACCTGCTGGAGCGCTTGTGTGTTGCTTCCATGAATCGAAAGGGCAAATTCGAATCGGAACCCCGCCAATCCGCTGCAGCCATGGTAATATCAATGGTGCCCCCTAGTGGAGAATATAAAGTTCACTGAAACATCATTAAATGTTGACAAAATTTTCTAAACCCATCAAGAAAGATGGCCAGAGCTAGAAGGAAACATCCAAACTCTGCATTAATTGCAACATAATACAGTATGAAATCTGCATATATATTATAAGGTTCACAATAAACAATCCAATGGAATGAGACTACTCGCGCAAGTTAGCCTTGAAATTGAATTGATAGCACTAGTTGCATAGGTAGAAGAGCTATGTCTCAATTAGCTGTTTACAAAGGGTGTCCATTTCTTTGACTAGTCCCTTGTCTTAGAAAGCTAAACCACCTTTGCATTAAAAGAAGTAAAATCAGTCCTTGTTGTGCCTTTGTGGGTTTTCAATCATGTAGTTTCTACTTTTACATTTCATTTTGTTCCTATGCCATTTCTACACCGTTCAAGCCAAGGGATCCACTTTGATTTGGCTCCACTACAAAAAGCTTTGTGCATGCAGAATATATGGCTTTTAAGCCGCTTCACGACAGAGATATGCTACAGAAGAAGTAATAATAATAAGAGCATGAATGCATGCAAACCATCATTACTTGACTTAGCTAACTTTTATATTAAATCTACTTTTCCATTCATGTCTGCTCAATCCCAATATAACATGTATGGCTGGTGAAGAGATTGCTAAGGTATGTTGTTTCAACTTTTTATTATGCATTTGACACTTGTCTATATTTGAATATGAAGTATAAGAGAATATCTTTATATCCATGTCGGACATGTATCTAATATTCATTGTCGAGTTTGAGTCGCATAGGATGATCTGTTGTCGTCCCTTTAAAATAACCAAAAGGGAGAAAGCACTCGAGGGAAAAGAAAACAGACCTCAAAAGGGCTGAAAGTTGAAGGTCAAAGAATAAATGTATAAGATCAATGTTTTGACATGAAATGACTGCTTTTGTGGGCATTACTTTGTCTAATCCCTTTTACAAAGGGAAAACATTAGAATCCAGTCCATAAAAGACTTGCTTTTCTCCTTTCTTGAAAAAGTTTATTGCCTTTCCTTTTGATATGTTTGCCAAGACTCTATGATTGATTGATCACTTCAACTAATTTAATCATACAATTTTAGCATTAAACTATACGGCGATAACTAAAATGAGTTGCCTGCTTCAGACTTTTCAAGGTTTCAGAAGGCTCGAGTTTTGACCGATGCCTAAAACATCAAATGGAGGACCAAGCTTATCAGTGTCATAATCCGACATCATTGCCGGCGGGAAAGAGATAGACATCTTGAGCAAAATGAAAAACATAATGAATATATGCTTTGATCTGTCAAACTTGCGGACCCTGTGTGTAACAAAAAACCTTGCAGGACCTGTAGATGCCTAAAGAGAACAATTCTGGAGTTCATCCTCTCGGCATGTCATGACTCGACTCATGCTCCACAGGTTAGCATTGCCAGAAATAGATTTTAAATAAAGATCCAAGCAAACTCCATGGTTACCAACAGATGTTTATTGTAGCAAAGATAAGCAATGAAAAATATCTTAAAAGGAGGAAACTTGGGACAACTCAGATCTCAGGTTTGAGAAATTACTCAAATTCAAAAGCCTAAGGTTTCTGTACATTAAATTGATTTTCAGTTCACACAACCTTTGAAAGATAAAGAGAACCTATGAAATCAAGAATTGATCTTCCAAAATCTCTCTAAAATAGAAAAGAAGCAGAAAAAGGGGGACAAAAAACATGCTAAGCAGGGAAAGTGAATCATTTGAGCGGGGTTCTATGCTCAATCCATTAAATCATCAAATCCCATCAGATAAAGTGAAGGTCTCTAATTAGCTCTGTACATATGTACTTATCCAGAAAAAGACTATTAGAGAGATCAATTCCTGTCGATAACTTCTGCTGGCAAGTTCAGATCAAAGAAACCACCTCCATAACTCTCCTTTTTAGGTTTTTTCGGTGATGGGCAACCACTGTCATCTGAACTCTCAAAGCTGAAAGATCGGTCGCGCTTGCCTACATGTCAGTAAATTTTTAAAAATATATATGTTTTAATAATCTTCAAACTAAGTGTGTGTGTTGATCTCCCAAAAGATAAGTGCACATACCACTAGTGCCACAATCGAAGGGAAGGCAATTGCCAGTTGTAGTACCGGCTTTACTATTCCGACAGACAGCAAGCTCTGATGCTTTCTCGATGCCTTTGGATTTGTATGGAGCTATATTATGGGTATTTCGTTGGAGAGAACCCAATAAATCATTCTCAATGCATTCATACCTGCAAAGAATAGCCTCAGCACGAGAACTCAAAACTCTCATAAACATCAATTAGTATTTGATATGTAATAACTATACTTACATTTCTTACAAAGGTTATCAATGATCACAGAAAGATTGATTACATGCATTCGTATCTCCATTACTTTATCATCAGTATATTGATCAAAAGGCTCTTCCAAAAACTTGGACAGTTTCTCAACATTTGCTTCAAGCTGCTGCTGCTGATCCTCAAACAGATGCTGTTTTATTTCCCTTTCCTCATTTGTCATCTCATCCTTGAATAATTCTTCTCCAAACATGTAAAATGCAAACGGGTATGAATATGAAAGAACCCGCCTTGATCTGAAAAGTCTAAGAAGTCCATTATTTACCCAGCTGAAATCTCTAAGTCTTGATTCCCTCTCTTCTGAAATTGATACCTTCTCCAGTATAGTCTCCTTGAGTTTACTCTCAAGCTTAAACGAATCTGTATGAGCTTTATAACGGTTATGATAGTGCATATAACGATAGAGATCTCGCTTTGCTCGTTCAGTCTTTTTCTCACAGTCTTCTATGTAGCGACCGCAGCTGTGACCAGCAATTCTTGACCAAGTATGGTCCCGTCCAGTAGCACCACCACACAGCCAACTGCATTAGTTGGAAAAGAGAGAAATGTGATAAAATAATTCATATTCAGCAGTGCAAAAATCATGTAAAAAAACCAAATAATATAATTATAAATAAATTAAACAGGAATGAGGAGTAAAACAAGTCACTAATGCTGGTGTAAGTTCAAAAGCTTTGATTAGAATTAACATTTATGCCAAAACCAAACACTTAAACATAGATAACTAATTGTCATCACAATCAGATTAGACAGTTTTAAGAAATTTGCAAACAGTAGTCAACAAAAAAAAAAAAAAAGAAATCCTTACCAAAATGCTTGTCCACAGATACAGCTCACAAGATTACATCCACCATTCTTCTCCACAGGTTTGTGACACTTCGGGCAAGGCTTTGTATGAACAGTGATCCAGTTGACTGTTTCTGATTCATCTCGGCACTTCTTCATCCAATGCTCCCACATCATACATGAACATGGCGAGTGTGCTTCTGATAAGCAACTAAAACAAAACTGTACACCACAAGAACATTCTACCTCACAAAATTCATCATCCTCAACGCGAATAGCATTTCCACAATGAGGAGTACTAGGGCACCATTTAACCATCCTATTGTCTTCGATGTATGACTCAAGAAGAAAACGATCGAATTTATCCGCTAGATCAGGATGCCTTTTACCAACTAGATTCCTAACAACAGCCTCATCACAAATAGCATTGCACTTGTGTGCCATGCACCTAATGCGCTTACTTTGACCCTCATTTATCTTCACAACAAAATGTTCTGTCCAACCTAGGAAAAGGAGGGAAAAAATCAACTCAATAGACTAAAATGTGCGAGCTGTTACAACTTCAATTACTTTTTGCACACATAACCAAATTTGAGTTGATTGCTCATTTTTAAGGGTCGATTTCAAGAGTCCTCGCATTTTTACATGCTGGTCTTATATGGCGCATATGCATGCTTTAAGAACAAGTTGCAGATTAAGGAGGATGCTTACAGTCATTGCAAAAGGCATGGCCACAGCCCATTTTCGTCATCTTATCACCAGGCAACTCCTCTATGCATATGTCACACATTGCTGCAGATGAAGAGGTCATAGGTGTTTCTGTATCCTCACTCTCAACAACAGAAACACCAGCTTCAGAAAACAAGTCCGTTTCCCCTTCTCCACAAGTACGGCGAGCAATTTCTCAACATCCCATCGGTAATGAATCAGTAAAGTCCGAGCATGGTGCTCCCTAAGCGATAGCATCTCCATTACTCTCCGCAAATCTTCCCTCTGCCAAGACAAAACAAAGCAATCAATTCAATTCTAAAAACTAGAACACATATGCACAGGAAACCAAAAAAGGAGAAAAAGATTTTTTTTTTACCTGGGCAGCTAAAAGTGATTCTTTTGTAATAACCTGCGTAAGTACCATAATGGGTTACAACACAAGTACGCCCATTCTAAGAATTCAGTACAAATAGGAACGGAAAAGAAGATGAATATAAGATTCATAGACACTATGTAGTCAGTCCTTTAAGGTTTTCCAATCAAGATTAAAGCTTAATCTACCCCCCCCCCCGGGTTTCTTGAAGGGGAAGAGTTCAATATACACAGTGCAATATAGTATAACAAAAACACGAAACACATGCAATAGAGAGAAAAAAACTGATCAAATTCAACGATCAGCAGTTCCTCTGCTTGTGAAACTAAAAGAATTCCCTAATGAACATGCAAAAAAAAAAATCACCCACTTCAAATTACTCTATCCTCATTCTCGAGAAAACCCAAAACCATATTTTTCCAAATTAAACAAAACCCAATCTTAAACTGGAAAAAAAAACCCAGAACCAAGAATCTACATATCAATGACAAATTGGAACAAGACATGGAATTCGGGAATAAATTGACCTTGGTAGTGGGACCCTTTGAAGGGGCCCACTGCAAATCGGGGTCCTCATTCTCGAGACCGTCGAGGGAGTCTCGATCGGACGAATAGTAGTAATCCTCGTCGCTGCTCCCACAATCCTCCATCGACAGATCGATCAATCAACACAATTCCAAACTTACCGATTTTAATGATAAATATTATCTTTCTTGCTCAAAAGGAAATGAATCGATTCGTTCCCAGCTATAATTTTACTATCGATTTGAAGAGTGTAAGAGAAGGAGGATGAGAAGAAGGATTGGAAAACGAAGTTTATAATAGAGAAAACCAATTAGATAATAGTAATTATTTGAAAATTTGTGAGACATAAGAGAAACGCTGTCGTTTCGCTTTTGTTCGTGCTTCCTTTATGTTTATATATATAATAATTAATAAAAATATGTTAAATTATTAATTAATAATTACTACTAATTATTAATGTATTAATTTTCTGATAAACAATAAACAATAAAAAATGAAAAATAATTAATTATTAATTTTCTACACCCGAAAATTAAACCTTAATTATCCTATCCAAAAAAATTTGTGAGCTTAACGAGCAACGAATTGAGTAATATTTTTTAATGAGTAGTGAGTCAAATCGAGTAACAAAATTTTTTAACGAGTACGAGTCGAGTACTACTCAACTCGCATCGACTTGCTCAATAAGCACCCCTAAATGTAACCATGTAAACATTAAGAGCACTTATTATTTAATTTTTATTTTAATCACTCAATTTCAATTTTTTTTAAAAAAATTATTCAAAATATTATGTTTTGGTTATATTTTAGTAATCTTTTTGTTAAAAAAATAAAGGTGAAACTGACATAATATTTTTTAATTATTTTTGTGATATTATCTTATGATGACATGTCAATATCATCGTTAATTTTTGAATGTTGAGTCACAAAAACATATATAACGTTAAGTATGATTTTTTTAGAAAAATAGTTAGGTGGCTAAAATAAAAACTGAGTAATCGGTGGTGACTAAATCAATAGTTTCTCCAAAGTTTAAATATAAGACGAACATGATATAAACAAATAAAGTAACTCTTATTGAGGGATCTTTCATCTTTGTGGTTGATCATAACTCCCAACTATTATTAACGTATTGTATTTTTGAGATATCTGGTGTTGTTTTATCCTCTAATTTTGCTAATATCTTCAATATGGTCCTTCAAATTCTCTAATCTTATTATTTTGGTTGTCAATATTTTCAATTTAACAACAAGCATCTTTCGTCTATCGATTTAACGATTCAAATAAAATTATTTTTATTAAACTGTGCAGAATTACAAGAACAACATTGCTCTCCAACCCAAACTTAATTAAGAATTGATTTTAAATAACCAATATCTACGGTCTACCTTAAAGGCAATTAAATAACCCTTTTTCACAGCAGAAATCTCTGGGATTTTCTAATAGGCAATTAATTAAATCAACTTACGGGAAAAATTTAATGTTAATTTTTGAGATGACATTATTAAAATAAACACTCGTAAATTTTGAACATAAATAAATATAAAAAATATTTTTAAAAAAAACGAGAACATGAAATATAAAATTTATTATATTATTATATAAGTGTGTAAGATTGAATTAAAATAAAAATCATATCAAATATTCATATATAATATTGGAGAATCATTGATATAATAATTATAAAGATACTAATAAATGTAAAGTTGAAAATTTATGAATTGAACTAAAGTGTACACATTCGAACTTACCATGTATATATTACTATAATCTCTTGAATTTTCTTTCCCCTTAGAGTGTAAGAAAGCTTCAAAGAATACCAAATTTTCTCAGAGCTCATTAGGTATAACAATGGCAACTCCCAAGCAAACCATAAGTAGCAACACCACCACCAGGGCAACTAGGGGCCGCCAGAAGATTCAGATAAAGAAACTCGAGAACGAAAGCAGCCGTCAGGTAACTTTCTCGAAACGCCGCAACGGGTTATTCAAGAAAGCCAGCGAGCTTTGCGTGTTATGCGGCGCGAACATCGGGATCATCGTGTTCTCTCCCAAAGGAAAACCGTTTTGCTTTGGCCACCCGAACGTCGACGTGATACTGGATCGTTATCTTAATGGAAACCCTCTGGAAGACGCTGACATTGCCTCGTGTTTCGAGGAGTTTAACGAGGAGTGTCGAGAGACGTTGGAGAAACTAGAGGTGGAAAAAGGGCGGACCAAGGAGATAGAAAAGGAGAATGAGGATAAGAGAAACAAGGGAGAGTTTTGGTGGGATGAGCCTATTGATAATAATATGGGGATTGAGGAACTTGAGACCTATGCTAATGCAATGGAGGAGCTGAGGAATAATGTGGCTAACAGGGGTAATTTACTGATGGGAGATGTTTTCGCCGCCACCGCCGCGACTACCACCACTGTGGCTAACCCGAGCGGCTTCGGGAATGGCTTTGCTGTCCAAAACGGAGGTTTTGCCGTCGGAGATGGTGACTTTGGTCTTGGTATTGAAGGTTTTAATTTCGATCATGGTCCTGACTTGGATTATTAATAATCTCTACGGCATCATTGAAGGTGTGGTTACTGTTCTACGTTACAAAATTAATGTTTAGTTTTTATTTACTGTATGAACACTATTGATTTCATCTTTATGTGATCATATACAATGAAGTACTTAATATTAGTTAGTTTTTTCTCCTTTAATTTAACCATTGAGTTTAAAGCAATTCGATTTATTAATTTGAATCATTTCAAATTAAACGTGAACTGGATTTATTTAAATCGTTGACATATCAAGTTAAATTAGATAAGACTCAATTCAAACTTAGATATCAGATTTAAAATCAAATATCATGATGCATGCTTAGTTAAATTAGAATAAATTTAGATATCGTCTACATATAACGAAGCTTAAATTAGATTACAATTGATATTAATAATATATTTCAGAGAATTGCAGAGAGTTTTGCTATAGAAATGATTCTTTTAACGTAATTTGCTCCATTTATAATATTAAATTTTAAAATATTATTTAAATAATCTAACATCTCATTATATTAATTAAGACTTGATTCTCAATCAAGATTATGAGTTGGCGGAGAATTGAAAAGTAGAAAGAGTTGAAAGTAGAGATGGTCATGAGTCCGTTTTACCTAACTTAAAATTCATTTTGATTTTTGGGGTAAAAATTTGATCCATTTATGATTTTTTGAGAAAAAAAAACTTACAAAACTGAGTCGAAACCATAAGATTCGGGTCAAATAATTATCTATAGTTGAAAGTAGTTTCAAAACGACAAAGGTAGAAAAGGGAAAACGACAAAGAAGTAGCATAGAAGCATCTTGCGGTGGTTGTCGTAATACGTGCGCATTGTATTCGATGATCAAGTCTTGGTGTACAATAAACTCCCATGCATTCCCCATTGCCCAATATCTATTTTTGTAATCTTTGATTTGCAGAATAATCTATGACGGGGTCAAGTCGAAGGCCTGTTCTAGATTCAGGGTTTTGTCGGCTTGGTCTTCATGTTCAATTTAGACTAGTAAATCAGTGAATCGGATTAGTTTTAGATTAATTTACTAAAGAAAAGATTGATCGGATTTAAATTCAAAATTTGATACCAATAAAGACTTAAATAACTCGAAAATAATCATTAATAATTGATTGAGACATTGTCTGCAGCAATCCATCTAATGTTACAGCCTGTTTTGGCATCTCTCCAACTTTCCATTTTGCTTATAGAGATCGCCTTGTCTCTTCCATTTTGTAGGCGAACTCTTTTTTTTTTTTTTGGCTTCAGACCCTTCATCCACAAGCACTCGATGGATCATTGCCCTTTTGTGCGCATCCTGGTGGGAAATTTGGCCCTGAAATTTCATGTACCTACAAGGTCCTCACTGTCAAGGGTCCAGGACCCTTATTTTTCTTGTTACTGTAAGATCAAATTCGACAACTTCCCTCATCAAGTTGCTACAATCCCTTTGATCCAATCAGGACAAAGTCTGGAAACTGCTCCTGTCGTGGCGTGTTTCAGTCTAAGCAAGCCTCAGATTTGTCTTTGGGGTTCATCGTTCAAGCTGTCTATAGAAGTTTATGCTGATGGTAATGGCGACAGTGCCTGTGGACTGGCATCTGGGAAGTTATTGGGGAAGGTTTCAGTGCCTTTGGATCTCCATGGCATCTGGGAATCGAGGCCGTGTGTTTTACATAATGGATCGGTTCCTATAGGCCGAAATCGAAGCAGCAAGAATGGATCATGTATGCAGTTGTGTTTAAATGTCAGGACTGAACCTGACCCGAGATTTGTCTTCCAGTTTGGTGGAGACCCAGAGTGCAGCCCTCAGGTTTTCCAGGTTCAAGGCTCTTTTAAACAGGCAGTCTTCACTTGTAAGTTTGGTTTCAGATCATCTTTGTCGGAATCAAACAGGTCCAGGAACTGGCTATCTTGTCTGAAATCTGGTAGGGACAAGTTCTCTAAAGAACTAAAAGGATGGTCGATTACAATCCACGACCTATCAGGCTCTCCGGTTGCAATGGCATCAATGGTGACACCATTTGTCCCATCGCTTGGCTCAGACAGGGTTAGTAGGTCCAATCCCGGTGCATGGCTAATTCTCCGTCCGGGATATAGAACCTGGAAACCTTGGGGTCGACTTGAAGTTTGGCGTGAGCCTGGTTTCATCGACGCACTCAGTTACAGAGTCAACCTCTTCCACGATAATATCATGACAGCCACAGGTACAACCACAACCACCACCACCACCGTCGCCAGTTCAACTCTCAGCACCAAATTTAGCGGGAAATTCACCATGGATATTTTGACAACCAACATGGCAACCCCAATCCAAACTCCATTGATAAGCTCACAAAGCAGCTGTGACTTCGGGTCGTCATGGTCACATTCCTCGTCAAGACCAGGGTCCGGATCAGGGTCAGACTTCGGGTTTGGAGTGTTATCCATTTCTCCGCAGAGCGGTAGTGGATTTGTAATGTCATCAACTGTGGAAAGTGCGGTGAATGCAGTAAACCGGAAGTGGAGGTAGGGGTGAAGCATGTGACATGCACGGAGGATGCAGCAGCTTTTGTGGCGCTGGCTGCGGCGGTGGATCTAAGCATGGATGCTTGTCTGCCATTCTCTTATAAGCTAAGGAAAGAATTGAGGCAGCAAACTCAGAGCTTTGTCGTTTAATACAGGTGGGGCCTTGTCGTTTTAGGTTGTTTGGTGTAATAAACAACTAATCGGATGAGTTGGTTAGATGTGCTTTTGGATATAAACACTTACAGCAGTTCTTGAGCTTGATGTGATAACCATCAGTTTTGTACAGTTCGAATGACATGGCAGGACAGATTTGAGTCAGTTTTGTTTTAACTTTCATGACCAACTTCTTGGACATAAATGAGTATAAATATTCTATGTTACTCTTACCGACATCGAATCGGACATAGGTATCCAAGTATAATCCTACTGTAACAATACTTGTTGAAAAAAGTGTAATACAAGCTGAATACAACACAAACCAATAAGGTTAATTCTAGACTCGTCACCATAAATGAATCAAAACTACTAAATTGTTTGTGAAACACAAAGAAAACAATTTCAGTTTCGAGTTTTAAGACGGTTAAGATGGGCTACAAACAGTCGTTCCATGTATCTGTAACTCCAGGCAAGCACCAATGCATGCAGTCATCGTGTTTCTTTCCTCCGGCTGAGGAAGGGTGAGCGTCTGCTCTGAACTCACTCATACGGGTAATATTTAAGCTGTGGATATTAGACCCCTCGAGGGCCTCGTATAGGTGCTGATTCACGAGCCGTGTTTCTACGTTCGTCCCGTTATTCTTCAACGAGAAGAGCTCTTCCACCTGAAAAGGGGATATAACCAATTTCAACCTTGATCCAGAGTGGAAACAGACAAAAGATGAACAATTCTTCTCCTCGGAAAACAATGGAAGTATTTCAGCATAAAATAAGATGCAAGTTTAATCGAAAGGTAGAACATTGCAAGCCGGCATTTATATTAACAAATATAGCGTCAACATAACTAGTAAAGAGACTCACTTCTTCTGGTAACAAAGGCAGTAACCGTCGACAAGAGCCACCTTGGTCCCAGTCGCCTCCTTCAAAATGCCTGGGTGATTGCGTGCGAAACAATTTAATGGCACCTCGTCGCATTGTTTTCTCCACAAACCGTATCTGCCGATTGACGATTAGTAAGAACTCAGAAGGGAAAATAGTAGCTATAACTCTGACAATGCCAAGTCTTCTCTAAACGAAAGTTGCATGAATGCCACTAAATAAGCTTTGTTATGCAAAGCACCCAATTAGTATATTATTCAAAATTGCAGCAAACGCCATTTGCAGTAACATACCATGTGTTTTAAAACCTTATCCAAGCCAACATCAGGAGGTATGGGAGGGATCACAGGAAGACCCTTTTCAAAGAAAAGCATTGGTGACTTGACTGGGTCGAATTTCGAAGGAGCCCACCACCTATAAAAGAGCAATCGAAATAGTTAATCCAAGTCCGGAAATCTTGGATAACAAACTAGAAATATGGATTAGAATAACAAAAGAAATTGTGACCAGGAAACAACATAAATATATAACACAACCACATACAACATGATCCAAAAAGCATTGATGATTACATATAAATCAAAAACCACATCCAACTATGGCAACTTGTCATCTCATAAAATCCATTTTCGGTTGATTTCATTCAACACGAAAATAGGATGAAATGCTAAAAGTAACTTAGGAACAACAAACAAGAAAATAAAAGGTATGCTACCATACTATTACCACCAAAAGATCTCAACAACCAACCAACATGTCAATATAACACAACCACAAGCTACACAGCTTGAGCCTAAGAGCTCTGATGAGTGCATGTAACTCGATAACCAAACCCAAATCTAATCCACTTTTGGTTATTTTCATCTACCATGATCCAACAACTTAGGAAGAACAAACAAGAACATAAAGGCATGCTACCATAATATTACCGGCACTAAAAGATCGCAACGAGTCATCATGCATCGACAATCTACATCATGTTAAATGGAAAGGGTAAAAAGACTACCAGTGTCCTGTGTTAAAGATCAGTATATCATGGAAGCTTGGAGCCTTTTCCCATGTGCTTTCTGGAATATCGACATCGACTCTATAACCCTCTGTATATCCAAGAGCTTCTAACTCACCACCATTTGCATTAGCCGACCACCTGCATCAAACAAGCCAAAGAAAACAACTTCAAACGAAATGAATTGGAAATTTATCAAAATGAATAAAAAGAGCCCCCAAAGCAGCTTACCTACCATAGCGTGCCAAAAGATTAGTTCGATGATAAGCAATGGTAAGATTATAGTGAACAAAGGTAAATCCACGATCTGCTCCAGCAGGACGCCATTTCTTCACATCATTGGTCACGCGTTTCAGAGTGCAAAACAAAGAAACAAACATGTTTCTGTTTAAGGAATCACCAATAAACCCTGCACTGTTGAGTATCGGTTAAGGCCTAATTGCTTAAATTACTTTTTCTCTAATTTCAAATC